ATACACTTTCCAGGTTTATTTGAGCGTAAGTGAATATTGCGAGCCCGACTGGAGTTGGACTGATTTCTTTTATTTTTGTTACCGGCATATCAACACCTCCATGGATTATGTAATGCCGGAATCTAAATATAAAAATTCAAACTTTATAATTAATTTAAAATAATAACATTTCGTGATTAAATAATTATCTACGTTTTTTTTTTAACCAAATAATCTTACAAAATCAGACAAAGATTGAAAACTTGTTTTTCCTTAAAATAAATGATTTTTATATATATATATTTTAATATTTTGGCAATGTATGGTAGGTCATTAATTCTACTAAGAAATGTATTGTCGCAAATTCATTACAAAAATGTATTACTGATATGTTTACTATAAAAACGTATTTTTCTATTTTGTCAATGTTTTGGTCCTTGTTTGAGTGGTCACTATTTAACCATAGCCGGGAGCCTAACACGTCAGGGTTAACCTGGGAACAACAGAAATTAAGAGATGGTTTCACGCTCCTCAAAACCTCCAATCTCACCTTTCAGAGGTCTTGCTGCCGGATGTAGTTTATCATCATACCCAGGACACTCTGGAATTGAAACTCGGCTCTCTGACTGCCAATTCCAAACTGTTATCCATTACATCACCTGAACATCCCAGATTACATCACTTGCTATCCACAAGGGGGCACCAGGCTCGACGTTGTTTAATTTCGGTTATCATACGAGAACTGGGGTTTCAACGTTATATGGCCGTAAACCTTAACCTATCTGAATATACTCTTAAAAATTGACTCTGAATTCTCACGTATTTAGGATGATATATACGATATTAGAATTGATTCCTCAAAATAGAAATTACTTACTGAATATTTCGTTTGAACGAATGATTGCTGAGGGCTAAATAGCGTAACGTTGTTATCACAACGTTTCAGCCGTTATGGTCTCCGGTCTTCCCAGGTGTATATCGATCTGCGCAATCTACAAGGTGTTCTCAACTGATCACTTTATTTAATCTACTGGGATTGATTGTTCCCCGTTCTACTCCCTGTGTCTAGGGGTATATCATCGTTGTTACTTTAGTATTACTCAGTTTTTGTTCGATCGAGACCAAGTACACACTGCCCGGTCCAAGGATTGAACTCGCAATCACTATGTCGAACAATCACGTGGTCAAGATAAACACTCAGTTGTGGAGCAAGCTGAGTGAATACTAATTCAACATTGAGAAAGAGAGCTATTTATGGTGCAATGGAGCATCTCATTATGCTAAAGTGGGATAGTCCATTGGCTGCTGGTACCTTAGTGGAAGTATTTCTATATAAATACCAGCTTGATTCCTCAGTTAGTTTGCAGGGTTTGTATTAAGTTACAACCTGCTTTATTTTTGTCTGCCAGCTGGACGCTAGCTGGGACTCTTACGCCGGTAAGTGTTGTTTATTGTATTGTTATTCTACACACTACTATATCACCTAATTCGGGATCCAACGCCTTAATCCACGTGGTTATTTTCCGTATTTATTTCCCTCGTTAGACTCGCCGAGTTTAATTTAGAGAACTGCCAAATTTAAGCAGAATTTACATAACAAATATGCAGGTTGTGAGCGATTGTGGCTCTCACCAACTTCTTTGAATCTCTAAACAATGTATTTTCCTTTACCGTAACACCTACTTGCTCCTCTGTTAGATGAGTTGTAAAAAATACTTGCCGCTGTCTATAAAGAGGGAATGTGCAGTGGTCTAGTGGTAATGTTAATAACAATACCAGATGTTTCCCTCCAAGGAAATATTAGACATTCATATGCCCAACAACTAGTACTGGTTTCGTTTGAAATTTCTAAAATCTTTCCCTTATTTTTTTTTTTCATGAAAATCGGTTTTCAAGTCCAGTAGCTGTTATCGCTCTTTCCAGTATTAATGGGTTTTTTTCCTTCCTAACATTTTATTTGAAGTGATGTTGAATGTCAACATCTTAATTACGTGATTAATTTTCTTCGAGTTATATGTGTGTTGAAACTTGACTAATGCATGGAATAATAATGCAACACAAAATGTACTTAGAACAAAATGTATTGAAACAAGAAAGTGTACACAATATTTACATATAGTCTTTTGTATATTCCTGGGAAGACCGTTCCTGGAGAATGTGTTGACTTAGTCGCAGTCGGGCAGAGTCTCTGGTTGAATCTCTTGATTCCTCCCTCTCTTCCCGGTACCAATCATATTTATATGGTCGGTACTCCACTATGCAAATTAGGTGGATCCTACCACAACAATGTGCAATCCATTTTAGTTGTTATTTCTGTTGGTAGTCTTCAAGTGGTGTGATTGATGTTTTGTTTACGTAGCAATTGGTGGTGTTGGGGAAAACTACCTCTGACGTAGTTCCAATTTCTTTTTATCCTATATTTAATTAGTGAACACTGATCCATATGCCGAGGTATTTGAAATGTTTAGTATTTACCATTTCTTTGCGATCTTGTTCCGCCTGTCCACAATGTTCAAAGAAGGGGGATCTTTGACAAGGCCCTCAGGATTTACTCGCTCAAAGCATTTTGTCCCCATTGATCTAGTATTGCGTCTAGGAAAGTGAAATCAGAGAAGCGGGTTTAAATTTCAGTCGGGTTCACTACATTTATGAATCCATCTCCACCCCCGTGACGTTGGTTGAATAGTAGGCTTTTCTATCTAGAAAAATCAATGTTTATTAGTAGTGCTTATATCTAGAAAATCATACTTATTATAAAACCCAGGTTGTGTGTGTGTGTGTGTCTGTACGTTTATATATTCGATTGGATTTCCTACATTTTTCAACCGATTTCAACAAAACTTCACAGGAGTATGTAAAATTACATTGCGGTGGTTCTGACAGCGCCCAAAATTGGAAAAACACAATTGTTTTTGCACGAAATCAATTTGAAAACACGATTAAGAGGCATCGCGGGAATGAAAGGGGGACAACTCATATTGAGTTATACTTATTATAAAACCCAGGTTGTTTGTGTGTGTGTCTGTGTTCGTTTATACATGGGATCGGATTTCCTACATTTTTCAACCGATTTCTACAAAACTTCACTTTTTTTTGGCAGGTAGTGTTTCTTATTGTCTTGCCCACTTTTTTCTTTATTTTTACATTCAGAATGCTTTAAAAATTCCATTTACAAGACAATTGTTTATAATAAAATTATATTCAATCGGTAGACTCATAACGATTGAAAACAATGTTTTTGTTTGAGTTTGGGTTTGACCAATTCGTAAAAAACAAAAAAATAATAATTAAAACCTGCGTGTCCGTCAACCTTAAACAATAATCTTTGTCGATTTTATTTTTCAGTCTTTATGATGGTCGATACTTGATCTATCTCTTACTGTTACATCCCCGGGCAACGCCGGGCTCTACTGCTAGTCATCGATAAATAGTAGGGTTTATATGTAGAAAAATAATTGTTAAATAGTAGGGTTTCCGTCTAGAAAAATCACCGGTAAATAGTAGTGCTTATATCTAGAAAATCATTGTTAAATAGTAGGGTTTGTATGTGTTATGATCCCGTTCCTTGTACCACGATGATAGTCCAAGGTAGAACCAATAAAGAAGAACTCGAACACGTATATAGAATAACACAGATATATTACAAACAGGAATATATACATAGAAGTAGAAAGTGTTAGTACGAACAATCAGGTTTAGTAGTAATTGTTTGAACGCGGCTCTGTTTGGGACTGCCTCTGACTCGACTGACTGACTCGCTCTGACTGACTGAAAGACTCCTGACGGACTTCACTCCTAACGGACTTCACTCCAGACTTCAGACTTCACTCCAGACTTCAGACGGAACAGTATTTAGTCACCCCCCCTCCACGAGGGTATCATGTGGCACAAGGCCGGTTTAAAGTGGCATCTCCGAGCTCGTGGGATCTCCGAGCTCGTGGGATCTCCGAGATCGTGGGCTCGGCCAAAAATATGCCCTTTGAACCTGTATAAACTGGTTCAGGGTCAGTTTACCTCCCCGAAAGAGGCTCCTCCCTTTGGCGTAGCCTCGTTCGGGTTCAGGGCAGTGAGTCCAAAGGCAGTGAGTTCAACCGATCAGCCGGTCAGCCGGTCGCCCGACTTTAGACAGAACTCCCTGCTTCCTCTTGAGGCGCAGTATTTATTACGTATGGAATAGTCCATTATGTTATTATGGGTAAGGTCCCATAACAAGCCCCCAGATTGATTAGAAAAGCTTCCGATAGAATAATTGAAGGCATTTCTGGTAGCCCATGCCTTAAAAAAATACAAAAATTGCACTCGCAAGTAAAACTCAAGCATAACAAAGAGCTTTATCTCTGTAAAATCTGTGTGATCTTTGGAGATTTTTATTTTTTATTTTTACAAAAATGATCAATGGAAAATATCATAAAGTCATTTCTGATCTTAGGTCTCTGGTTGGGACCCGGAAAGAGAATACAACAGAAACCTAAGGAAAAATAATAATAATAATAATAAGAAGAAGAAGAAGAAGAAGAAGAAGAAGAAGAAGGACATAATATAAAGAAAAATTCAGTAGTTTATACGTTTTAGTCAAGCTCTCAATTCTAGACGTTTGTTTTTGTTGTTGTTGCTGTTGTTTTTAAGCAGTTAAATCTATGTTACAAGAAAGTGCAGATGTCTCGACTTCATCCAACACCATCATGGTCGACACGAGAACCTTTCACTCCACCTCGTACGTCAGCCTGGAGCCAGATTTGAGCAGATGATAGCACCTATATTCATGTTTCCTGTGCTTCAAATACAGAGAACAGTCTACTAGTCGTCCCAGTTATTGGTAATTCTTCCGTTTCACTCTCAGAGCACCCAAAAAACGTTGCCTGGTATCAAAATTGGCTGGAACATTTGCAGCTTTTTACAAACAAATTGTATTACATTTTTAGTCTTGTTACAAAGACATATAAAGCCAAATAGGTTCGGTAATGACTTTGTTTAGAATTTCTTTGGATTTGGCATTTCCTTTGATTTTTCTTTCTTTTTCTTTCTTGCTATCCACACATTCCTCTTCTCTTTTTGTTTTCTTCTTCTTCTTCTTCTTCTTCTTCTTCTTCTTCTTCTTCTTTGCAGTTTCCCACTTTTCGCTTTGTTCTCTTTATTCTGAATTATCTTTCCCGAATTAGCACATTTCAATCGTGCTTCTTTCCATCACTTTGTAGAATGAAATTAAATCGCCATTTCTATTCTAGAAGTCAGCCATTGTTCCCATTATGACCACGATCTGATTTCAGGAACGTTTTATAAACGCCTGCCGAATTGGACACAACAAAGGCAAAATTAGTTTTTATTGGTCAAATTTGAAAATAAGGAAAAAAAAAAGAGAAGAGCCAGACAATCACATTTTTCAGCCTAAATTACAGAATTATTTTCTTCTTTTAGTTTTAGGTGTCGTAGTGTAATTCAGAGGAGGCACGGTGGAGTAATGGATAGCAGCTAGGATTTTTATTTTGTCGACTGAACACTATAGTAGAGTCAGTTGGGCACCGTCTGTGCGAAAGAGTACCATGACACAATTCACACCGACAGAAATTTTGAAAAGTATACTGTGCTGCTTGGCATTCGCGCCAGAAGGTCTAACACGAACATTTCACAGTATTTGGCAGTCAATCTGAGGAGAGTGCAGAGGATTCGGAAAGAGCTATATGAGTCTAATGGTGATTACAAAGGTACGGTGTTAATTATTAGTTTAGCAGACTATTATTTTTAGGTAAAATGTATCTCGGCTCCGATTTCCGGAGGATGACATTCGGGGTCAGATGTGAGCCATAACAGGGAAGTCGACTTTGATTGGATGAGGTCGGATGTGTAAGATAGAAGAAAGCTTTCAGCGAGTTGCTTCTTACCCATTAAGCGATGTAGACGTGTTTTCTTTCGTGTCCGAAACGGCTCTCCAGTGTGATGGGGCGATCATAACTGGATAGTTAGATAATGTACATGTCGGCATAAGTAATAAAAATACTTAAATTAAAATTCTCTGTGTTTGACGTCTTTCTTTGCTGAACAAAAACAATTATCGATCGCCGGGCGGAGGAAGACGAGATGAGACAACCCCCACCAGGAAGCTATGCCATATATTATCGAATTGGTGCCGGGACCAGGATCTGCCAGTATGGGGTGCGCAGATTGAGGGTTACAACACAAAGTAGAAAAGATCGGAGAAAATATTCAGAGATATTAAAGCAACAGAAGACTCAACAGGGAGAATAAGAAATAAAAGAAAAAATTAATCAAGACATAAGGACAGAGAAAAAACTGTAAGTATGATCATATTACTATGTTTTACTGCTCACACACACAGACACACACACACAGATACATCAAAACAACAAACCAAAATAAGAAGTAATGATGAAAAAAATATCTAATTGGAAAAAGTACAAAGTGTAAGCGGGCTTGGTTTTGATGGACAGACAAGTAAAAATTTATGAGAAAAGGACGAATAGGAAAAGCAAGAAACAAAGTACACCACATGAACAGTGAACACTCACACTCATGCATACACACTAATGCGACAATGCCAATTTTGGCGAGACATTTTAGTGAAAAACTGACTTTTATTGTTTTGTTTTGTCTTCTTACAAAAGTTTAGAATTATTTTCTTAATCGTAATTAACTCACAAATGATCGTTTTGTTCATTTTTGTATCAGTTTGTAAAATTCTTTTTAGTTTAAGAGTCGTGTGTGTATCTTTTTGCCTTCATTGGTTGAATAATTAAGTTGTTAATTGGTGAATTTTGTGAGTTTATTTTTTATTTATTTTTTTTTTTTGAAAAATTAAGTTTATTAATTGATTGTACGAATAAGTAGATTCCGCTTGCATAGTTTCGGATTTCCGAATATGTTTGGGTCTGTATTCTGGTGGGGGTGGGATTGTCACACCAGGCTATGTAGATACGGAAACCGGACAATGTTTGGAGTAAGGGGTAGCTGTAAGTATTCGTAGAGGATGAATATACCCTAGGATACTCCCCGGAGCTGTGGAATGGCCAAAAAAAAATTGGTTAGATAACTTGTGGGATGCCAGTTCGCGATATATGTCTCAGGGGGAAAAAAAAACTTGTAACTACAGTAAGGTCAGTAAGGCACTTAGTGGGTGTGGTTGCTTTCCCCATGGCGGGAGGGGCGGAATGCAGAAGGAATTTAGATGGCGCGAGTTGAGTTTTGACACACATAAACAGATGGTTAATAATAGTAATTATAGAAATTTAATAGTGGTAAATTTATGCAGCTTTGTTCAAGTAAATCTGGTAATACGCAAATAACAAAGTAATTAATTGGTCGTGGTTGAATAAATAGAGTGATAATGGACCGTGTGTACTGTGTCACTGTGAGTTAGAAATAAGTATAGATCATAACATATTTAAAGTGAAAAATTTAGGTGGCAAGGACGTGGCTCAGTTATGGGATTGGTTGATGCCGTGGCGTGGAGCTTTCGACATGTATTGTGTGATTTTGGGACCAGTATTTTTTTTTTGTGTATGTGTGTGAATTGTATGTACAATTCGTATGGTCTCAAGAGAAGTGGCAAGGAATTTTGTTCTCCCCAGCATATTGGATTTCAGAGGTGGTACCTACTGACCTGTGTTGAGGCACATTGGAGAGATCAAAGTTCACTGTTAGAATGATTTGTATCCAGACTGTCGTCTGAGGCGCTGACCTTGGGTCACGGAAGCTAGTGACCAAAAATGAACAAAGGTATTGTTTTTTTTTTTTTTTTTTTTTTTTTTTTATTTTGTTTCGTTTTTTCTTTTTTTTTTTTTTTTTGTTAAAAAAACTGTTGGGGAAGATGTCGAACGGTGACTGAGGTCCAGTGAATAAAAAAAAACAAAATATAAGAAGCACTCGTTACAAACACGAAGGAGCAGAGAGTATTTTAAAGTAAAATAGTTGAAATAAAATTCATAAATGAAACTTTTTTAATGATTAGGTAAGGAGCGTTAAGTAATACTTTACCAGACTATTATTTTTAGGGAAAGTGTATCTCGGCCCCGACTTCCGGAGTTTGACATTCGAGGTCAGAGGTGAGCCATAATAGGGAAGTCGATTTTTGATTGGTTGATCTCGGATGGGAAAGATAGGAGAAAGCGAGTTGAACGAGAGAAGACGAGATGAGACAAACCTCCAAAAACGGCAGCTCGAAAAATTCGCTCTCACCGTTCGTTACGATAAGCAAAGAACACCAGAAATTGTTGATAAGGGCCTAAGATTCGACGCGGGGACCTATATCAAGTGCCTTCAGAAAGTAGTGCTGCCCTGGGTCAAGAAGCTATATGTTTCATAAGAGGGGAAAACCTAGTCAAGGTTGTCAGACAATTTCTGACACTACATCATCCCTTACATCTCGCCACCTAACTCTCCAGACTGTAACGCCCGTATGCATGGGGCACAGTTGAGCGAGAGACCAACAAAACTCTTTGTAACACCAAAGATGAACTGAAGACAAGGATTATGGCAGCATTCAACAACTTAAACAAGGTAACCGTCCAGATGAGATTCCGAAGTCATCTGGAGGCCGTGGTTGAAGCCAGTGGTGATTTTATCGAATAAATTTACTCTTTAGTATTTCACATTTTTTAGTCATTTTCATTTGGCAATTTTATGGACTAAATTTACTAATCTTTAGTATTTCAAGATATCTTTACTTTAAATATAATAACACCCATGCGATCTTAAACTTATTTTACCGGCAAATTCGGATAATTTAAATTAATCTACCATTAAAGGTTTTCAAGTTGTAGAAAAATATACAATTTTTACATCATTCAAAAGAGAAATAAACTCTGCATAAAGCGTAAACAATAAAAATGATTTATTATATTATTTCATTAGAAATATATTCTGAAATGAATAAAACTTTAACCATAGGTTTTAAATTTATTTTCGCCTGTGCATATTTCCACAGATACTTTAACAAATACAGTTAAATTCAATTTAACGGTTTCAGTTAAGCTAGTTTTCTGATAAAGGACATTTACGTGTTTTCCTTCGCAAGACAGCAGTAAAACAGAAAAAGATAACTCGTATGTATATATTTTTTTTTTTCTATTTTTTTTTTTTTTCACTTCACTTTCAAGCAATCGATAAAGGAACGTAGACAACAGAGGTTGCTGAAAATGAAAGAAAATGGGAAATCTTTTATACGGAAAGAGAACAATAAAAGACTGGGATACAAAAAAGCAGAACGAGGCGATTAACAATGCATTTAACTTTTTTGAATGTCGTAACTAACAAGAAAGTAAGAAGCCGGAACAGAATGCCACAAGCTAGAAATAAGAGAAGAACCTATTAGAATAGAACTTACGGTTGCATCTAGCTATTTCAACAGTAAAATGATGAGACCCATGCTGCAAATCTATTCTTCTTCTATTTGCCATATCTCTTCAGGTTATAGTTCTCCACAACTTCCTTTTCTTTGTAACTCAGCAATGTTTGTCCGTTTGCTATCATTCCAAATTCACTGTTCTGACAACTATTTGCACAAGATCCTTAAGTAGTTTATTCGCCCCGTTCCTCTGTTCCCCTTCCATTCAATATTACCTGTGAGTGTTAAATTTTCTCAGCAGTCTTTCCTCATTATTTCCCCTAGAAATGTCAACTGTCTCTTTCCGGTGTATACATATATGTATCCTTTTTGTTACCATTTTCCTAAAAACTTCGTCATTGCTTACAGTTTAGTCTATGATGATCCGAGCATCCTTTGTAGAACTACATTTTGCCTCAAGTCTTTTCTTCATTTGTGAGATTTTCCAGCATTCATTGCCATATAGGAGGGATGCTTTTCCTGTTTCTTAATACTTTGCTTAACTTTTGGAAGACATCTTTCGCTATTCCAATGCGCCTTCGATTTTCGGTGTCATATTTTATCTCTTCTGATAAAAGATTTCCTAGATATTTAAATGTTTGTATTTGCTTGATTTTGCCGTCTCCAATTTGCAGTACGAGCTGCCCCTTTTGCTGACAACTATACATTCTGTTTTCTTACAATTAATGATCAGTCTTTATTCTCGCTTTTCTTTATTACCTTTTGTAGGAGTGCCTCTAGTTTACTTTCCTGCTATCAACACTGTCATTTAAGTATCTTATAGTGTTAAGATTGTGGCCGTCAATAATGAATTCTGGTAGCACATCAAATTCTTCCAAGAATGCTTCAAGAGTTCAATATGTCCGGGGAGAAGACCCATCCTTGTCTTACACCCTTTTCTATTTTTGTGTATTTACTGAATTCATTTGTTATCCGTTTTGCAGGCGGTTTGCTTCCAGTATAATCTCTGCATTATTGAAATATCCTTCACAAATAAATCAAGGCTAGCTAACAATTACTATTGAATTCATGAAGATGAGATATCAAAGTTGATTTTTTTTTAATCATTCCCCGCCCCAAGCAAGGCGTTAAAGCCACTAAGTTACTATGAGTGAAGCTAGCAGCGAAAACGTTATTTATGAGCGACTTTAATAAATGAACAGAACACAATGAAAGTGACTGAATACGCGACACCGGGTCAGAACCAATAATATTACTTATTCTTTCTTGGGGTTTTATCAAGGAGCACGGGACCATATGTGGCAGCAATGTTCTAAGCATGGACGAATGGTTGACTTAGATATGTAAGGTATATTCTGGAGAGAAAAATTGTCCCATACGACACAGTGAATCACATTCTTAGCGGCAGGCCTAGCAATCGATTCAATTATAGTCTTTCCAGTTGATATCAATCGAGAACATTAGACCCAGAAGGCGCATCGAGTCACTCCCCTGGAGGTCAGCATGCTCATCGACGGCAAAGAGGGTTCTCTCAGATGATTAACAGAGAGCAGTTTAGTTTTGGAGGGGTTAAAATTAAAAAGCAATGCTTTAGCCCAGTTAACGACAGACAGAAGGTCGTTTTGAGTACCAGATGCCAATTTGGCCTTATACTTAATATCGAGACGGAAGTAAACGGACGTGTCATCAGTGTAGATATCAAGGTGAGAGCTGATGCTATCGGGAAGGCCGTTAATGAAAATTAAAATCAAAGTAGGATCAAGGAAGGAGCCCTGGGGGACACCTGTGTTAGTACGAAAGGATCTGGAAGAGTGTCCGTTCAGGATAACTTTCATATCCCCATTTGATAGGAAAGACTGGATCAGTTCAAAGATTTGTACAGCAACACCGCTGCTTTTCAGCTTTCTGAAGAAGACCTCTCTTCCAAACCCCGTTGAAAGCTTACGAGATTTCCAAATCTAAAACCCAGGCTTCACCATTATTATCTAGAGTAAGGTTTTCCAAACCTTTTTTCCAGCACCCCCCTTTGGGCACTAACATTTTTTCAGCGCCCCCCACCTGTCAAATTTCGAATATTATACTTATTAGGTTGGTGCAAAAATAATGACGTAATAATGTCGTTTTTTGACTTACTTTTCTACGTCAAAAAACGACATTCTTACGTCATTATTTTTGCACCAACCTAATAATTCATCTTTCATAGAAAGATAACATTTAGGTATTAAGTACAAAAATAATTTTAATATATTTTTTTCATTTCTATAAGAAATGCCAACGTTTAAAATGCTTAAAAAAACTTTTACATTTTATTTGATAGCTTATCTTAATGTTCTCAATACGATGATTGACTTTGGTACTTACTGGCTAAAGATCGAAGTCTGGGTTTCATGCCGCTTAGAAGTCACCGTAGATCTCGTTTTGTAATTTGCAGACGGTTTCTTTGTTTAGTAAGGGGTGTAACTGCGTTGAAACTATATTCACTCATATAACAAGTTGGAAAAGCAATGAAGATAAGTTTGATAGCTTCCCACAGATATAGATACGTTTTAAAATTTTCATTTTGGAGCCAATATTGAATAATTTTTGAAAATTTGAAAAAAAAAATGGGTAAATGCCCACCTCCCCGCTCATTATGTTCATTGTCCCCCCCCCCATTGTAATAAAAACTCCCAGTGCCCCTTTTCAACATAACAAAGCCCACAAGAGGTCGCTGGCGCCCACAATGGGAAACACTAAAGCTTGATAGACTATCTGCAATTATCGTCAGTACATCAGCAGTTGACCTGGAGAGAAAACAGAAGCTAAATTATGGCGGTGGGAACATGATTGAAACGGAGATTCCAGCTCAGGACTAATGGCATTGCAGATTATTCTTTCGATTTTATCAAAGATTTCTAAATATAGAACAAACACTATACAAATACTAGCACGATACTATATGTGGTAGCAATAATAAAACATGGACGATAGATAGATTTGGCTGAGTGAAATTGTCTTGCACGACACAGTGAACCAAATTTTCTCGCAAAAAACCTAGGAATTGATTCAATATAATCTTTCCACTTCATGTCAGTAGTACGTCGCAATGAGTCACTCTCCTGAAGATTAGCATTAGCCACGCTGACGGGAGACAGAATTGGTCCTCTTAGTCGACTAAGAGAGAGCAGTTTCGTTTTGGAAACTTTAAAATAAACAAGCCATTCAACAACACAATATAGGTAATTTTTTTAGATTAGCTGCCGTTATGACATAATGAAGTGGTCAACTTACTATTAATTATCCGTTCATTTTTTAGACCTTCGAAAAAACGTCATCTCTCCTTGAGTTCAGAACGCCATAACTGATATTATACATTGTCTGCATACGTTTTCATTAACAGTGGATCAGTTCAAAATTTTGTCCGGAGACACCGTAACTTTTCTGCTTGGAGAGAAGTCCAGTATGTCAAACCCTGTTGAAAGTTTTCGAGATATCCAAAGCTACAGTCCCGTCTTCACCATTCTTATCTTGAAGTTAGTACATCAGTATACAATATATAATAACAGTATTATTAGAAATCCACGCAAAATTAGAGAACACAAGAATTATAATTAGAATAGACAGAAATAGTGTGTACTACATAGCATTTTACAAGAAGGAAATTGTAAAAAAAGGAAAGGAAAAAATAGGAAAGGAGAGAACAATATACGAGAAGAAGAATCTGAAGAAGAAGAATCCGAAGAGGCTGAAGAAGAATCTGAAGAATCTTAAGAAGAAGAATCTGAAGAAGCTGAAGAAGAAAAATCTTGGGAAGAAGAATTTGAAGAGGAAGAAGAAGCTGAAGAAACTGAAGAAGAATCTGAAAAAGAATCTGAAGAATCTTAAGAAGAAGAATCTGAAGAAGCTGAAGAAGAAAAATCTTGGGAAGAAGAATTTGAAGAGGAAGAAGAAGCTGAAGAAACTGAAGAAGAATCTGAAAAATCTGACGAAGAAAAATCTGAAGAAGAAAGATCTTGAGAACATTCTAAAGAAGAATCTAAAGAAGAATAATCTGAAGAAGAAGATGAAGAAGGAGACTTTGAAGAATCTGAAGAAGAAAGAACTTGAGAAGGAGAATCTGAAAAAGAAGAATCTGACGAAAAATCTGAAGAAGAAGAATCTAAAGAATCTGAAGAAGAAGAATCTGGAGAATTTGAAGAAGAAGAATCTGAAAAAACTGAAGAAGCTGAAGTAAAATCTGATGAAGCTGAACAAGAAGAAGAAGAAGAAGAATCTGAAAAAGAAAAATCTGAAGAATCTGAAGAAATATCTTGAGAAGAATCTGAAGAAGAAGAATCTGAAAGAAGCTGAAGAAATAGAAACGGAAGAAGAATCTGAACAAACTGAAGAAGAAAAAATCTGAAGACTTTGATGAATCTGAAGAAGAAAACTTTGAAGAATCTGAAGAAGAAAAAACATGAGAAGAAAAATCTGAAGGAGATGAATCTGACAAAAAAAGAATCTAATGTGAAGAATCTAAAGAATCTAAAGAAGAAGAATCTGAAGAATTTGAAGAAGAAGAATCTAAAGAATTTGAAGAAGAAGAATCTAAAAAAATTGAAGAAGAATCTGAAGAAACTGAAGAAGCTGAAGTAAAATCTGGTGAAGCTGAACAAGAAGAAGAAGAAGCTGAAAAAGAAGAATCTGAAGAAATATCTTGAGAAGATTCTGAAGAAGAAGCTGAAGAAGAAAAATCTGAAGAATCTGAAGAAATAACTTGAGAAGATTCTGAAGAAGAAGCTGAAGAAGAAAAATCTGAAGAATCTGAAGAAATATCTTGAGAAGATTCTGAAGAAGAAGAATCTGAAGAAGAATAATCTGAAAGAAGCTGAAGAAATAGAAACTGAAGAAGAATCTAAACAAACTTAAGAAGAAAAATCTGAAGACTTTGAAGAATCTAAAGGAAAAGACTTTGAAGAATCTGAAGAAGGAAAAACTTGAATAGAAGAATCTGAAGGAGAAGAATATGAAGGCGCTGAAGAAGAGTGTGAAGAAGATGAAGAAAAAAAAGTTAAAGAAGAAAAATCGGAAGAATCTGAAGAAGAAAAATCTGAAGGAAAATTTGAATAATCTGAAGAAGAATCTGAAGACGAAGAAAGAAAGAAAGAAAGAAAGAAAGAAAGAAAGAAAGAAAGAAAAAGCGAGTGGGTACTAGAAAAAAAAATGAAATTGTAATGAAGCAAAAGGCGGACGTCAAAAGAAATGCAGTTCTATCAGAAACCCAGACAAAAGAAGGAAAACTATTTAATAAATAACAGAGAGAATTTATATTTTTCCCATCATGCCTTTCTTGGTCCTTGTTCCTTTGTCTTCTGCTGAATCAGAGCTGCGCAGACGCAGTTGAAATGTTCAATAAGCGGAAGCGTTTAACCTGTCATCTAAAATGGCCCACATGGGTATGACAGTTGCCTCTGATTCGAATGGAAAATACGTGTTCAAAAGAGATATTTATTTATGCTTCCTTTCAGTTCTCCAGAGTACTTCAGAAGCCAAAAAATAAAACCTTCATCCAAACACACACACACACACATATATATATATATATATATATATATATATATAGAGAGAGAGAGAGAGAGAGACAGACAGACAGACAGAGAGGTAAAAGAGAAAGAGTAAAGGAACAAAAAATGTAGAACTTAGATAGATACTAGACATGTCGGTATTTAATATTTTAGAAGTACAGGATTATATTGAGAGCGATGAATCAGGGAGATTGTAAAGCACCAAATTTTCACTAGAGTGGCAACATTGAAATCGTAGGTTTTTGGGGGATTTTTTATCGAGTTAATGTACTAATGACATCCACTAGATGGAAATATACAACTCTTTCTACCACCAAGCACAGTGTATCGCAAACAATAAATGATTAGAATAAAACAATAGATACACTTTTTCTGTTCGGACTTGCACGCTTATCTTGTACTCAGAACGTTTTCGGCCGTTGTATCCTCCGGTCTTCTTCGATGCTCACGGTAACTTTCGCAGCATTTCGAACACAGCCTTTGTGTCCTATCTACAAGGGTAGATTGTTTGCATTGAGTTCTCGATGAATATCTCGTTTCAGTTAATTCCCCGTTCTTACTATCTATCTATCTATCTATCTATCTTTTATGATCCAGGTTAGGGCCAAGGAAGAACAACACGAACACAAGAGTAGAAATAACGAAGGTATATTACACGAAACAATAATACAAGATGTGGAAGGTGTTAGTATGACTGTCAGTCTGGTTTTTGAGTGAAAATCGACTCGATTCGGTATCTAGCCCCCCCCCCCACGAGGGTTGCATGTGGCATAAGGCTGCGTTTAACGTGGGTTTCCAGAGCCTGTAGGCTCAGCCAAACAATGCCCGTAGAACCCATATAAAGGGGTTCGGGTTGGTCAACCTCCCCGGACGAGACTCTGCCCTTCGGCGGAGCCTCGTCCGGGTTCCTCTCTGCTCAGAGTTCGACCGTCAAGCCGAGAAGCTCGGCTCGATTTGTCCCTCTCTTTCTATATAGTGTTAGGAATTCTGTAGTTATGGGTAAGGATCTATGAAACTATCTAAGTCTACTCATTATCTATCTATATATATATATATATATATATATATATATATATATATATATATGTGTGTGTGTGTGTGTGTGTGTCTCAGTGTGTGTGTGTGTGTGTGTGTGTGTGTGTGTGTGTGTGTGTGTGTGTTAGCCTGCTCTTTCCCAATCTATCTATCTATCTTAGTTCACTTCTTATCCATCTAAGTCTATTTATTTTCTATCTATCTATCAATCTAAGTTTACTCGTTATCTATCTATCTATCTATCTATCTATCTATCTATCTATCAAAGCCTGCTCATCTATCTATCTATCTAAGCCTGCTCGTCTATCTATCTATCTATCTATCTATCTATCTATCTATCTATCTATCTCAGTCTCTTTATCTATCTATCTATCTATCTATCTATCTATCTCAGACTCTTCATTATCTATCTATCTATCTATCTATCTATCTATCTATCTATCTATCTATCTATCATGCTACCAGGTAGTTGGTTTATTCACCTTTGTGTCAGTTCTTCTTTTGTTCTTTTAAACCGGAATATATACTTCCGCATTAACCAAAACAAAGACTGAGCTCACAAATTCAAAAGAACTAGATCTTCTTTAACCAACGTCCTATTCTTTTTTTTTTTTTTTTAATGTCTGTGCTCAAGCGGTAAAATGTTTGAGAGCCCTGCCTTTCTTAATCAAAACCTCTCATGTTTTATCCCTATGCTAGGTCTACTGAGGGAGTTTTCAAAATATTTCAATCGACTTATCTTCCAGTATTGTTCTCTGTCTGATATGCTCACACTTTTCTCTCCATACATGATCAAACAAACCTCTAACCATACCCTTAACAGACGGTTGTTCTCCCGCTTGTATTACTTTTCACAACTTCATGGGATGGAATATACACAGTTCTTGATCATGCTATCTTCTGAATGTAGCGCCGATTGGCTCAGCAGAGTTAGCTTTAATGGTAACGTTCCGAAAGTAATTTTCTCCCTTGCGTTCCATGTTTGCCAATATTGGAGATAACGGTGATCCCATAACTTATCATCTTCCCTGTCGGTATATGTTGGAACCAACACGTTATTTGCACTCAGAATCACAGGATCTCCATCAACTTATCTATCATACGCTGTCCAAGAGAAAGGTCTGATTCTACACTTTATCAAACCAAAAATAGAGCCACATCCTTAGCGACCATGGGGAATAGGCGCATATTGTCTATGCTTACCAAGCGATTGGTATGAACTAGAGCATATTTGATGGTGTCCGTAAAATGGTTACAGCTTTTATGTATAAGACAAAGATTTAACAGCTGTTAGTAGGTTTATGAGGAATTCGCTTCGCAATACCCCAGATAGATAGATAGATAGAGAGAGAGAGAGAGAGAGAGAGAAAGAGAGAGAGAGAGAATTAATCAATATAAGCTTAACCCTTTCGAGTCTCGGCTAAAACTTTATCTATACTATATATCCTCCTCATGTGCACTCACTCACTCTTCTTATGTTTGGTACAATAATGTTATTCTGTAAACCTTTAGCTTATAGATAGATAGATAGATAGATAGATAGATAGATGATAGATGATAGATAGATAGATAGATAATGAACTGGATGTGAAAGAAAGAAAGAAAGAAAGAAAGAAAGAAAGAAAGAAAGAAAGAAAGAAAGAAAATGAATAGATAGATAGATAGATAGATAGATAGATAGATAGATAGATTGAAACGGACTGAGATATATAGCTATGAACAGAGTGATTTAGATAAACATGGACTGAATCAAAAGGATAGATAGATAGATAGATAGATAGATAGATAATGAACTGGATGTGAAAGAAAGAAAGAAAGAAAGAAAGAAAATGAATAGATAGATAGATAGATAGATAGATAGATAGATAGATAGATAGATAGATAGATAGATAATGAACTGAATGAGAAAGAAAGAAAGAAATGAATAGACTGCGATAGATAGATAGATAGTGAGTAAACAAGGATAGATAGATAGATAGATAGATAGAAGGAGAGAGAGATAATGAAAAGATTGAGATAGAAAGAGAAAGAGATAATGAAGAGACTGAGATAGATAGATAGATAGATAGATAGATAGATAGATAGATAGATAGACATGTCTATATTGTTAAGGGTTAAGCTTCCTTTTTTCTTGTAATTTTCTTTATTGTTCATTCATTTTTTCCGTTATTGGTCATGTTTTTTTTTCCTAATTAGACGAAAATTCTTTTTCGCTCCTTTTCACTTTCTTTCATTTTCTTTTCTTCTTTTTTTTTTTTTCTTATTTCATTTAATTCTTTCGACACTTATTTTGCTTTTTTTTTTTCCTTTCCTTTCCTTTTCCTATATTCCTTTATTTCTTTTGTTCCTTTTTTTCAGTCCATTCGCTTTAAGTTCTCAATCAGCTCTATTCTACTCACCCACTTAATAATGTACATTTTTTTTTCGTTCTCGTTACTACTTAGCGAACGTTTTCCTTCAGGAATTAGTTTTTCTTTCTTTTAATTCCGATGGAATACCATTATTTTATTCTTTTTCCTTTTATTCTGGCATATTCGTTCTCTTTTCCATTCTTTAACGAGCCCGCAATTCTTTTTCTTTTCAATACTGTTCTACTCCTCAAGGAGGAACGACGCTTAAAAAAAAGTGAATGACATACACATTCTGGCATTCGCAAAGCGTTCGTTTTTTATTCTATACTTTTGGAATACAGGAATTTCTAAATCTTTTAGTGTTCTTTATTTTCTAATCATTATCTGTACCCACTCACTTTTTTGCCTTCAGAGTTTTTTTCTTCATTCTCTCTCTCCCCCGTCTCTCTCCCCCTCTCTCTCTCTCCCCCGTCTCTCTCCCCCCCTCTCTCTCTCTTTCAATCCGTTCCCTTTTTGCTCCCCTCCACAACTTCCACTCAATTTTTTTTATTAACGGCGTCCACAGAATACAATTTTCATGGGAGGACATTTCTTTGATATTTCTTCTTTTTATCACACACACACACACACACACACACAGAGAAAGAGAGAGAGAGAGAGAGAGAGACACCCTCACTCACTCATCCCCTCTCTCTTTTGCTTCTGTATCTCATTTTCTCACTTCCTTCTCTACTCTTCTCTCTCAGTCACTCTGAGACTATCGATTTCATTTGTCTATTTCCCTAATAATCTCTCAGATTTTCCATCTATCTATCTATCTATCTCTCTCTCTCTCTCTCTCTCTATATATATATATATATATATATATATATATATATATATATATATATATATATATGCAGCTACTGGACTTGAGAATGCTATTTTCCGGAAAAAATGATTTAAGAGAGAAATTTTATTAATGTCAATAAAAAGCAGCACTGGCTGCTCGGTCAATGAATGCCAAATGTTTCCTTGTAGGGAAGGCTATTTTACCAATGCTATTAATATCTATCTATCTATCTATCTATCTATCTATCTATCTATCTATCTATCTATCATAGCCTGCACATTACCAATCTATCTATCTATCTATCTATCTATCTGTCTGTCTGTCTGTCTATCTGTCTTAGATAGATTGGTAATGGATAGACTATATATCTATTTAACCTTCACGATACCATGAGGAACAGTATTTAGCTGCTCGGTCAGTAAATGCCAAGCGTTTCCTTGTAGGGAAACGGTTACTATTACCATTACCACTACAACCTACCTACCTACCTATGGCGGTAACAACTACTGGACTTCAGAAACGTATTTTTCTGAAAAATTGTTTTTAATAAATTTCAAGCGAGTGCAGAACTGGCTGCTCCCGCCAACGAATGCCATTTTTTTTCCTTGTAGAGAAACGGCTAATGTTATCATTGTCTCCCTACGTATTAATCTATCTCTGTCTACCTCTCTCTTTATATGGGAAATTAAAAACAAATGTGCCAATGACCAGAATATACAAATATTCGAGAGAAAACACCAAGACACATGGCCTAAAAATAGCGTTTAAGCATGAATTTAATTATCGCCGATTGGTTTTGATACCCGTCTACACTTTTATATTGATATACGTTCTGTCTTCGATATTGAGCACTTTTACCAATAAATATAGCAAACTATATTTTTATCATATATATATATATATATATATATATATATATATAGTCAACATTGAAGTCAACACTTAGAAGCGACAGTGTGTTTCATGCTAGAAGCAATCGTCAGGCTACCTGATATATATATATATATATATATATATATATATATATATATATTCGTTATCTATCTATAACATATAATTCATTCTTTTCATACCACTCAAAATCTGTGCATATACATACCCACAAACACACACGCACAAACATATATATATATATATATATATATATATGTGTGTGTGTGTGTGTTTTGTGTGTGTTTGTGTGTATGTATATGTCTGTTTCTATGCCTATCTATCACGATTTATTTCTATCTGTTTTATTCTGCTCATATCTATCTCCACATTCTATTTATTTATATCTATCTATCTATCTATCTATCTATCTCATTCAGTTCATAATCTATCTATCTATCTATCTATCTATCTATCTATCTATCTATCTATCTATCTCATTCAGTTCATAATCTATGTATCTATTTGTCTGTCTGTCTGTCTTCTTTCGCTCTTGTCATTTTCTCCGTATTTATTTCGTTTCTGTATTTATTCATTTTACCTTGATTTCTACCTAATTTCCTGCTTTCATCCTCTTATTCCCTTCCTTTCTTTCTTTCTTCCTTTCTTTCTCTTTTTGTTTACTTCCATCCGTTTATATCTTTTTAACATTATTTGCTTTTATTTTCGTTTCTTTTGAGTTTTCCCTTTTTATTCTCTCTCCTATAACCTGGACATTTTTTTTTAATTTTCTTTTGTTGTCTCTTTACCATTTGATTGATATTTCGCCATGGTAAAAAAAAAAAAAAGAAAAAGAGAAAAGAGTTTACTTCTTTCTGGCCTTTTCTTTCTCTCTTTTTTCATTCCTCTTTATTTAATTCTTTTTACTTATTATTTTACGACCCTTCTCAACATAATTTCTTGGGTGCTTTTTCATTTTCTTTCTTCTTCCTCATTTTACCCCGCAATTCATTCTGTCCCTACAAGAGTTTTTTTAACGTTATCCCTTAAATCAAATTGTCTTGATTAATCTATTTTCAACAAAAGTACTTTAAATTCCGTTGTTCCCCACGATTTTCTACTTTTAGTCCTTTCTTTATTTTTCTCTTTTTATCCACATTTTTCATTTTCCCGCCTTCTTTTTCACTTCTTCCTATCCCATAATTATCTTCTTTTCTTACTCTACGACGTTTTCTTTCTTTCTGTCTTTCTTTCAATCTTTTTTTTCTCATTTTTTTCTACTCTTTTTCTTCTGTATCTCTTTTTTTCTACTCTTTTTCTTCAATTTTCCACGTATTCTTTCTTTTTTCCTTCCCTACTATTTACGCTGTCATTTCATTATTTCTTCTTCTTCTTCTTCTTCTTCTTCTTCTTCTTCTTCTTCTTCTTCTTCTTCCTCTTCTTTCCACTTCTTCTCCTTCTTCTTCTTCTCCTTCTTCTTCTTCTCCTTCTTCTTCTTCTTCTTACTCCATTGTTTGTTGTTGCTCTTCTTCTTCTTCTTCTTCTTCTTCTTCTTTTTCTTCTTCTTCTTCTTCTTATTCTTAGTCCATTGTTTGTTGTTGTTGTTCTTCTTCTTCTTCTTTTCACTTCTTCTTCTTCTCCTTCTTTTTCTTCTTCTTCTTTTCACTTCTTCTTCCTCTTTTTCTTCTTCTCTTTCTTCTTCTTACTCTATTGTTTGTTGTTGTTCTTCTTCTTTCCACTTCTTCTTTTTCTTCTTCTTCTTCTTCTTCTTCTTAGTCCATTGTTTGTTGTTGTTGTTCTTCTTCTTCTTCTTTTCACTTCTTCTTCTTCTTCTTATTCTTAGTCCATTGTTTGTTGTTGTTGTTCTTCTTCTTCTTTTTTTCACTTCTTCTTCTTCTCCTTCTTTTTCTTCTTCTTCTTTTCACTTCTTCTTCCTCTTTTTCTTCTTCTCTTTCTTCTTCTTACTCTATTGTTTGTTGTTGTTCTTCTTCTTTCCACTTCTTCTTTTTCTTCTTCTTCTTCTTCTTCTTCTTCTTCTTCTTCTTCTTCTTCTTCTTCTTCTTCTTCTTCTTCTTAGTCCATTGTTTGTTGTTGTTGTTGTTCTTCTTCTTCTTTTCACTTCTTCTTCTTCTTCTTAGTCCATTGTTTGTTGTTGTTCTTCTTCTTCTTTCCACTTCTTCTCTTTCTCATTCTTCTTCTTCTTTTTCTTCTTCTTCTTACTCCATTGTTTCTTGTTGCTCTTCTTCTTCTTTCCACTTCTTCTTTTTCTTCTTCTCCTTCTTCTTCTTCTTACTCTATTGTTTGTTGTTGTTCTTCTTCTTTCCACTTTTTCTCCTTCTTCTTCTTCTTCTTACTCCATTGTTTGTTGTTGCTCTTCTTCTTCTTCTTCTTTTCACTTCTTCTTCTTCTTCTTTTTCTTCTTCACCTTCTTCTTCTTACTCTATTGTTTGTTGTTGTTCTTCTTCTTCTTTCCACTTCTTCTTCTTCTTTCCACTTCTTCTTCTTCTTCTTCTTCTTCTTCTTCTTCTTCTTCTTCTTCTTCTCTCCTTTTATACTTATTCGTTCTTGCCAAACATTATTTCATTCTTTCTTTTTATCCTTTTTTTCTCTTCTTTCAATTTCAATATCTGTACCTTATTTTCGTTTTTCCTCTTTTTTCCTTTCATTCTTTCTTTCTTTCTTTCTTTCTTTCTTTTCCAATAAGAACCACAATCGTTACCAGCCTTCAACTAAATGCTTTCAAACCTGCACTCTCCTCTCACTCTCACTCTCTCTCACTCTCTCACTCTCTCTCTTCTGTTCATTGCCTGCCTTCCCACCCTTTCTTTCCTATCATTCCCCCATTTATTACAAACCTTCCAAAATTCAGTTTCCAGGTTGTCACTGGCGATTCTTTCCTTTCCAACATCGACTGCCATTATCTTTCGATTCCTCTTTCATTCTGCTTCCAGTCCTTCGTTTTGCGTTTCGTTTTTCCAATCCTCGATTTCTAATCAACAATAATAACCATTTTTTCTCTTCTTTGATTTTATTCTTTTTTGTTTTTTTTTCAGTCAAGCAGGATTGTTTTTGATTTATGAGGGGATTTCAAGGAGAAAAATATTAGCTATAACTTAGCCAACCACGGCGAAGAGAGGCTGATGGGAAGGAACAACCTTGAACGCTTTCAACGAATTTTCTTTTACAAGAACAAGTTTCAACAAACTGTCATTTGCCAGTCATCAATACAAGTATTTTTTTTTTAAGAAAAGAAAAAATATATTTCATTTATATAAAATATACTAACACGGTTCTATAATAATTGTTACACTGGCCCGCAAATTTCATGCACTAGGTATTAAAATTATTATGGGCTAGGTATCATAATATAATGTAGCAACGTCCGCCATTTTTATGTCATATTTAATGAGATAAGACACACGAATATTTGAGTTCATTACAGCTCGAAATATTAACAAAAATAGGTTTGATGTATATAGGAAGTTTCCTTTAGCATATTTTTCGTAAATGTATAAAATTTTGTGATCATTATATTATATTTGTAAAACACACACACATACAGTCAATGGCTATCAGCAATTGATTACTTATATTTTAGATTTCTTTTTGTGCATTCATCATTGGTGTACGTTTTGGTAGACTGAGTAAGAAAAATACCAATTATTTTTCTAATAGTATTTATTTTACCAAGTACTTTCAATATCCTCTGAGACAACCTTCAGGAGGTTAAGTTGTCTGTGAGAGTGCATATGTGTTTCTGTGAATTTAAAACTGTTTCATTTATTAATTTTTTTTTTTTACTGCTTATGCAGCGTTCTGGATTTCAAAGTTCACGTATTCTTTGGGTTTTTTTTTTCCAGTGTAAGGGGAGTAACATTTTGTTTTTGCTTATCCGTATATAATATTTTTTACATTAAAATATAAATATATATATATGAAAATAAAAATAAATATTAAAATAAATAAATAAATATATATATATATATATATATTAAAATATATATATATATATATATATATATATATATATATATATATATATATATATATATATATATATATGCATGTTTCATTAAAAACAATGTGCTAACCGTATTCGGAAATTAAAAACATCCCTACCACACACTAAGACATACACATAATGCACACACTCAATTAAGCTGAAAAATCGAATCATCCTTGATAATGGCTAAAGGTATAGCCGAAAGCGCTCGGAAATATAAAACATTCGGACAGTTCTTACACCCTTTGTCCAGAAAAAGAAAGCTCTTGTTAGAACACAAGAAAAATTAAATAAAAAGCTCAACCGTAGTACCCTGTCTGTCGTTTTAATGAAACATGCATAAAGGAAGGATTGCTGCCTAAATATAAAATTATATATATATATATATATATATATATATATATATATATATATCAGTGGTTTTCAACCAGGATTCCGCGGAACCCTATCGTTCCGCCAGTAAAGCCCAGGGGTTCCGCAAGAATTTACACAAGTACCATGATTGACAGTAATTTTAATTCTCCTGTGATGATATGTGTGGAAGACGAACTTCATGTGTGTCTGTCAAATACATGACCCAATATTAAAGATTTGTGCAAGAAACATCAGGCTCAAGTTTCTCATTGAATTTTTAATGAAAATAAATGTAATCCATTTTATAACTGTGGAAGCAAGATTAAAATTTCATTCTCTTTGTGAAAGCTTCTTTTTTTTTTTTGCATAAGACAATTTATTGCAGGGGTTCATGGAGCCACTAGAATGTTTCCTTGTGGTTCTGCTCCAGCAAAAGGTTGAAAACCACTGATATATATATATATATATATATATATATATATATATATATATATATATATATATATATATATATATATATATATATATATATATATATATGAATATATATATATATTTAATTTAAATTTAAAAATATGATTCAACACGCTACATACGAGTTCTCATGTTTCAAAACAAGAGCCGAAAACTTCAATATAATTTTTGAACTAAATTGAATTAATTGAAAATTCAAAGAATTATATGTAGCGTGTTGGAATCATATTTTTAAATAAATAATTATATTTATGCTCTACT